TGCATGTAGGCCAATGGGATAATATCCTTTCGAGATAGCCTTTGTACTCCTCGTACATTTCTTGCCTTTACGAGCCATCAGTTTTCAAGGATATTTAATTTTTCAGTTGGCACAATTGACACCTTGAACCTTGAAAATGAAACTTGACAAGGACTCTTCAATTTTCTGGACCTAACAGGCAAGACCTAGGGAGAAACACAACACCAAACGCGGTCACACTTTTAACGTGGAAGAAGGCAATTTTTAGACAAGGTCTTTCGTGTTTTGGGGTCTCTATTTTACTTGCCAGGTTTCTGCCGTTTTAAATTTTCTGTGCTGTGCGTCCATCAAAACTTATTTGGGAAAGTACGACAAGAAATGGTAATTCAGACGCCTCACAACACGACAAAAAAAGAGCGTAAAAACACACTTAAACGTACCTGAAATTCAGCAAATGACTTCAAAAAATTCGTTTTCCTCGTGGTCTTGCAGCCAGGCCTCCAAAAATCCCAGAAATCTCTGCTTTTTATAATTTATGCCATAAATTTGGTTATTAAACAGCCTTTCAAATTGGCCGCCATTTTGAAAAAAATTGCTGACGATTTTGGTGGCTGATTCCGCGGGCTCAGCAGCCCGGCGTGTTTGCCTCGTTTTCGTGTGGATCAGCAACACAGCTGTCCATTGCAACGGTGGCACGTGCTTTCTCTTCAGCGCCTTTTGCGAATTTCACAACCCACAATAGCGACTTGACAATTCGCGTCGGAAACCTTCTGTGTATGGTGAGTATAACTTGTACTGTTTTGCTACCGTGTTACTTAAGGAGTTCTACGGTTTGTTTTTCTTTGAAAGCATCTTTCATTTAAAATTATTGTTGACTGCAAATCATGCGAAAGGAGCGACATAAAGTGACCTGCACGGACCGAATCTCGAGTTGAGCCGATTTTCTCTCGGATCTTCGATGACAAACAAACTGAACTGAGTAAATGTGCTCGGTGGCCAACGTGCCAAACGACCCTTTGTGGTCGCAGAAACAAAGAACTGAGTGAATGCGCTTGCATTGGTGGGCAATGTGCTAAGCGACCCAATTGAGTCAAAAACAAGGCAAACTCTCCAAACGTAATCTGTAGCATGATTATGCTAATGCTTTGCAAGAAAGGTCGAGTGATTCTTTTGAGTGTATTAACAGGAGCGAAATTATCCGAAAATCTCCCAATATTTTTCCAAGAATTAAGAAAAGTGATAACTAAACCCATTGCTCGCAGCACTTCACCTTCCAAAAGGAACCACTAAAACAATTATTCCTCGAGCCCGAATGAGTCAATAGCCCATTCGGCCTTAGGCCTCATGGGCTATTGACTCAGAGGCCATGAGGGCGAGAGTGATAATGTTTTAGTAAAATCCAACTAGTTGGTCAAAAATATCGAGACAAAACAAGTTTAGCTAGCAGAACGCGATTCAGCCGCCATTATTTTGGTTTTCAAAGCCGACGCTTTTCGCTACTAGTGGGCTATAACATATAGCCTAGTAGTAGCTCAACCAGTCAGAACGCAGCATTGATAATAGACCACTAGCTGGATTTAGCCAGGGCTAAAAGTGAAGCTCTCGATAATTTTTATATTTTGCTCAAACAAAATATAAAATCGTGTAATGCTAAGCGGCGAAAGCAACGAGAACGGTGAAAAACAACAATGGGTGTAATTAGCAAAAAAGCAACTTTGCACGTGCATTGACACTTTTTTTGTACATTTCTTTGCCGTTGTGTTGCACGACTACAACGTGAAACTTCCAGAAACTTCCTGGTTACACGTTTTGTGGAGGAAATGTCGTACGTGTTCTTGCAACCTTTTTTTTTCACTGCCGCACCTTGGTGGCCTGATAGCTTTTCTCATTTTCTCACCGCCGCTACAAAAATTTCATGTTGTTCTTCCAACAAAAAAATGTCTCCTTTGCTTTTTTCTCTCCTTCTAGCTCTCTGTCGCTCTTTTTCTCGTTGATCTTCGCTGGTCTGTCGCTTACTTTCTCTTTTTCTCTGCGTTTCTCTTTCTGTATATTCCATATATGTGGACATGGCAATTAATGTAAGCTTAATACTTTAGACAACACGGATACAGAAACAATTTCTACTTTCTGTTTTCGTCTTTATTGGCTCTTTTTAGTTGTTTCTGCTTCACAAGACACAGGTGGCTATGCGATTTCCCGCCAAAATAACCTCGAGTTGAATTTGGGCTGCCATAGCTGTTGATTGAAATATTTTACATTTGGTATGTCTGTGGTGAGGACGGACTGCGGGCTGGCGGACGGAGGCACGGTCACGTGATTACCAAAATTTCTCGGATGGGTAGATTACCACATTTCCTTAGGTGTGGGATGGGGCTATGCTCGCGCGCTCGTGGAGCTCTGCTATTAATAATTGACATAATTTGTAATGGTGTCGCAAATTGTAATAATTTTGTCGTGATTTGTAATACCTGTCTCAATTTGTAAGAACTTTGTCGTAATTTGTAATAAAAAGCTGTCGTATATTTGTAATGACCAAAGCTGACGTAATTTGTAATAACTTTGTCGTGTGATTTGTAATAATAAGCATTGTTTATACTTTTCAATCAAAACGCTTGTTTTTTGCGTGGTTTTTGATCGTCAAGGGGACAGTACAAGGTTGATCTGAAAGGAAACAATGATTTCAGCTCTTTTTTTAGGAACAACCTGTTATCTTTTGGAAATAAAAATTTTGCCTGAAAAACGAGTAAGGGTAATCTGAGCGAGCGATCTCAAACTGCTGTAAAGAGTTTCAAATTTTAGTGCAAGTTTAAAAAAATGATCAGTCATTCGTACCACCTTTCAAGGTTTAGTATGCCCTGCTGTGGTAGAATACAGGTGATAAATAAATTTATACGCCAAAGTTAATGATAGTTATGGTATTAATGTCATGACTTGCGTTACATGTTTGTAATTTACCTTCCCGTGTTAACAGTTTTATCTGGAATTATTTTTTTACCTTTGAACAATCGGACATTTGATATGATTTAGAAAGAATGCATGTTTTTGTAATCATAAAGCTTCAAGAAGCTTTAAACTAACTTTTTTCAAGATTCACTATTGCATCTCTGGTCATGAATAACCGATTGAATAATAAGAGCCATAAGAGTTCGTGAAGCCATGACTGTGCATTTCACTTTGAGCTTTGCTATATACGAATACAGTCGTCTCTCCTCGATCCCGTCACCGTTCGCAGGCTACTTGAGATCTAAGCAATCTTGAATAAAAAGTGGGATTCTAAAGGAACCTTGTTTACTGTGTTGTTCAGTTCAATTACCACGTTGGCTATGATCCGCCGTGGTTCCTTCTCTTGGTATTAGCACGAATAGGGCTTTTTCATGGCGGCTCTCAGAATCAATCCCACCTTTAAAGTAATTAACGTACATGTTCGCCCCAACTTTCTAGCCATTGATTACTTCTGGTCTTTGCTCTAACATTAGACGCAATAAACCATTTGTTGGGAATCTAGATTTCCAGGAACATTTTATCTCCACTACAGAATTTCAAACTTTCAAAATCAGCAGTCAGTTATTTGGAAATTAAACTTCGAACTCATTCAGTTGTATAACGGGGGTGTGCTAAATTGAAAGAAGAGGATTCTGGGAAAGATTGAGAAGCTATAGTGTTAACGTGAATTAGGGAAGAGGTAGGAAGGTAGTTAATGATCGTTAATAGTGAAGTTCTTACTACTCGAGGTTGCCTAGCACTAAGTCATAGTCTGCAAGCCGTTTTTCTTCTTCGTATTTAGGACACAAAAGGGACGTTGGGCTCTCAGGCGTTCCTAGCAGCGACCGTGGAAACGGGGAATAAGAATCATGACGACTTTCACTGTATACAAATGAGACTCGTGATGAGCATGTGGTTTATGACGTGATGCGCGTAGTTGATCACGTTCGGGCTTTTTGGGAATGATGTAATTTTCCCCGAATCAAGGCCCTTGATTTTCGTGTATTCATACACCCGTAGTAGGAAGTGAAAAATTTATAGCGGAGGGAATCCTGTTTCGTGATGTATTGAGGCATTACTTTTCTCAGAATATTGACTCAATTATTGGATCTTGACCGCGGCAGTGTTAGCTCAGTCGGTAGAGCGTGTAACTGCAGAGCGGGAGGTCGCGGGTTCTATTCCCAGGGCCGGCCAATACTCAGTCTTAAACTAACTGAGAAACGAAGGTACTTCCTTTGCACTACCAAGCGGCTAGACCTTCGCGTGGCTCGGATGACCATGAATTAAAGATGGCGGTCCCTTCTCTAATAGGAGACGTAAAAATAGTGTCCCCAATTAGGACTTTCGTGCTAAATACATTGACACTCAAATAAAGTCCTTTTTTTTTCGTCTGACGTTACGTATGTACGTGTCATGGATGTCTTTATAAGGGTACAGGCGGCCCAGACTCCGTGGAAGTTCGTTAGACTTTAAATTTGTACGAGAAAGTATGAAAATAAACAAAATACGTCCTAAATTCCCTTTTTTGACAAAAATAGAAATATAAATGACTCACCGTGTGTTTTTGTTGTCTTTTTTTACTGTTTCTTTCCTTTTAGAGCCATTTGGAAGCCGCTTTATCGACGATTTTGAGTTGTACTGACAATAAGAAAGTACCACTCAAAATCTTAAACTATTTATTTTTGAAGTTCTCGGCTAGTATAAGAAATGTGTATTTTTCTATCATACTGACGTCGTCTTCATTGATGTTTCCTTGATGTCGTAAATTGGCAAGGTCTCGATCTTTGCCTTGTGGTATTGCCTTTAATTGTGGAAGATTGCTTGAAATTACAGCATTATTGCCTATACATCATTGGAAATTTGCACTTTAGATTTATGAACTGTAACGATTGAACTATAATCTTTTTACAGCTTAAGTTTAGTCTGACTATTCTATTTACCATAAGGCAGTCAGTATTTACTGTGTAACATATGTCTGCACACTGGCTCCTTAAGATTTGATTTATCTCCTCCTCATTTCTTATCTAATCTCCAAGCAACCTTGAGTTAACACTTTAAGGGTGTCTTGTTCAGTATCAAACGATTTTTATGGCAAAAAATGTTTTAAGCGAACTTAGTTTACCTGAATAACTTCCCAAACTCAGCTTGTATTTGGCTCCCTTACTTGCCAGAACAAATGAGTTGTACTCTGCAAACGCATGCGCAGTTTTTTCCTGATGATGATCTTCCAAGTCCACTCGAAGCTTGTAACCACCACTTACAGCAATGAATCCTGTCCAAACCGAGCCAAAACTCACAGTTCAGATTACCAAAACCGCGTTTGTAATCATTCCAACCGCGGAAGAATCGAGCCTCTTCTGAAGCACCGTCCAACCTCCACTGGCAGTTTTCTCATCACAGAACACTTCAAATTTACCCAAACCATCAGGATTGATATTATGTATACACTCCACTGATCTTGTTACCGCTTTTGTATACTTCGGCACAGTCGTTGTAAACTGATGGTACTAAAGATTTTACATAAGAGGGTTCCGTTTTTGTCTTGTTTTCTATATTGTTTCCAAGATTAATTCAAAATAGGCAGACTGCAAATTATCTTAGTTGTTAAAAAATATATATCTACGTGTCGCAACTGTTCATCAGTAGGATGCCTAAAATGCGTGCAATTCCACAATTGGTTTCGGCTCCATTAAATCCTATACCAGTTGCAGAACATTTTAGGAGGAGCCACCCACCATGTGAGCACAGTCACGGACAATGTATAAGTGAGGAAAATAACGCAAAGTAAAATTAAGACGTGAACAAACGAACTAAATGTACACGTCAATTAAATAAACAAACAAATAATGCGCGCGCTCAAAATAAAATTGTACGCGCACACGTACCGAGATACATCTGAAATACAACACTATGCAATAAATAAGTAATGTAAGGATACGATGGTGCAATTCAAGCCTGGATTGCTAATCTCATCTCCCGCAGGGCTGCCCATCCTAAAGGCAGAAAAACTTAATAAGCGCCCGGCCTCTAATAAGCTCCCAAACCCAACCCAACTCCACCCCCTCCCCTCCCACTCAAACTCAACTAAGTACCCACCCTCACCCTAACCTCTTCCCCTTCCTAGAGACTTCCCCGAACACGTAGGACCAGTTGTTTAAACGGAGTTTATCCGGTGTTTACCAAATGTTTTGCATTCCGTCCATAGCCAGCGATACTGTGTATATTACATGGTGTTAATTAACTCCCACTAGGACATTTTGGGTATATAAGCGGCCACGCGGTATTAGACACTATCAAAATAGAGCAGAAATGTACCAGGTTTTTTTTACTCTCTCCCTCGGAGTCTTCAGCGTTTCAAGTGTGTAATCAGAAAAGTACAGTATACCGAATGGGCTTTTGTACATTATGGTTTTGCTTGCCTACTAAAATGCTCCACCTTAATGCTCCATTTTTCCCACTAAAATGCTCGGTCTCCCCAAAAAAGTCACTAAAATGCTCGGATAATGCTCATTATACAAACGCTTTTTTAAATTAATTTCAAAGTTTACACTTACAAAAACGTGCAAGTGTTGCAAGTAACAACGACAACGTGTACAAGTTCATAAATACAGCCAAAAAAACCAGCTGTATTAGGTTTTTTGTGAATTTTGAATTTTAGCCTTCATTTTGTTTAAAAAAGCAGGAGCCCATGCCTTAATTTCTATTTTATTTTCTCGGAAAAATTAATTTTCCGGGAAAATGCCACTAAAATGCTCGAATAATGCTCAATGCTTTTGGCTCACTAAAATGCTCGAAAAAATGCTAGCATAATGTACAAAAGCCTAATACCGAATAAACCTGTTGTAAGTGCAAAAAACTGGTACGTGATTCTCTTCCAAGTGGATTCGATACATATCCAAATCACCAAAACCGCGTAAGTCACTTTCAGTTTGCCCAACGCTTTTATCTAAACACCATTTGTCGTGAACAGTTTAACTAAAGCATATAGTATATACTGGAAAAGCATTATTTTGAAATGAACCAAGAGAGAATCGAATAACCAACCCGTAGTTTTCTTCAGAGGAATTTACAGAAACCTTGCTTTGTTACATCTTCCCCTTATGCATGTTATTAACATTTTTTGTTTTGTTGCAAAATAACATACTACACTCGCTGAAATTGGTGAAAATTTAATAAGCGCCGAGCCTGGAATAAGGTCAAGGTCCAAAAAAGATTTTCGCAAGTGTTCACTTAAGTGTCGTTTATGCAATAGAAATTGCGGGTGTTGCATAAAACTTTTTTTACGGGAAAAATAGCACGTAAATTTACCGGACCTATGTAGGTCCCGTATCGTTACTGTTTTTACTAAATTTAACGAGATCTTTTACTGAGAAGTGAAAAAAAGTATTTTTCTTCAGGTAATTCGTTCTAATGCGCTTTGTTAACCTCTGATGTACACTTTTGTGAAAAAAGAAGAAGAACTGTCATTTTCAGTAGATATTGAAGAAAAATAACGTTTGCATGCAAATTTCATTATTTGAGAGGCTTAAAAGTGTTCGAAACGACTTTTAACTTTCTTTACACTCACCGATGGTTAGCTTAAAAAAAAAAAGAGTGAATCATTAATAAAGTACTATATCAAGGTTACGTGTCCCCTTAAGTGAGCCCGTAAGTTACCACGTAAAACAGAAACTTACGAGAGTGCTACGTGTGTTCCATGCAACACCCGTAAGTGTACCCATAACGGATTCGTAAGGGACCTACTTAAGTGAGCACTTAAGTGCAGGTTTTATGCAACCGGGCCCAGGGCCCGGTTGCATAAAATGCTCGTAACAGTTACGAGTATACGTACGTGTCCTCGTAACTTAAGTCAGTTACATGAAATCACTTAAGTGGTCCACTTAGGGAATTCACTTAAGTGGTTGCACTTACGATTTTCGTAAGTGTTCACTTAAAGGGGCTATGTCAGCTGGAGAGCATGCGCTCTGAGATTATGCAAATTACTTTCAACTGTCAAAATTCTATTGTTTTTAACGCGTGACTTTCTCCATGTGCGCTCTGAGATTATGCAAATTACTTTCAACTGTCAAAATTCTATTGTTTTTAACGCGTGACTTTCTCCATGTGCGCTGTGAGGTTATGCAAATTACTTTCAACTGTCAAAATTCTATTGTTTTTAGCGCGTGACTTTCTTCATGTTCTCTGTCACGTCCAAGGTTCCGAATTTAGAGAGGTTTAGCGAAATGGGTTTAGATAAGGGATATTTCGATAGAATTTATGGAACGTTTCTTCTCTGGTTATGCTAGATCAAGAATAAAATTGCGACGACAATTTTACTTGTAGTTTTGAAGTAAAAACGCATGCCATTCATAAAATAGAGCGCAAACAAAAATTCAACAACAACATATTGTCTTATTCAACAAAATAAATGGAAGTTGTATTTTACAAACGAGCTACAAAAGACGCTAGACCGAAGATAAAGACCAAGACTGTTTCAAATCATTAACAATTAGACTTGTCTGTCGCTATTGATTTTATAATTTAGATGCTGATAGAACAAGAGACCAAGTCTTTGTTTTGATCTTAGGGAAACATACATTATCGCGCAAAATTGTTCGATCGTGCCGAATCACTGCGACGTCGAGAAAAACTGAACCCAGCATCATTGGTATACTACTCCACTATAAGCAGTCCGTTGATAAAAAGGGAAAGCAAGCTCTGCTATTTTCCAAAATTATGCTCCAACACAAACAGTTCAAAAACATGGCATTTACAGGATCTAACTCGTACTAAGGTGCCTCTCTAAGTCCGTTGAGAACAATCTGGACGAGCAAACGGTCGTGTTTATCTTTGCCGTGAATCGAGATAAATACAAGAAGGAATCTAGCCGAATTTTAGAATGTTTCCTTCGCCAGGAGTTTAGTTTCGTGACGAAACTCATGGCCTGATGCTCTTGTAATCGTTTACAAAAAACGGCCGCCGCCAACTCGATAGCCGCTTCATTATATGTCCACATACTTTGAGCACAAGAAAAATCCAAGAGCCAGCAGCCTCTAAAATAACTCAATAGAAAGGTCCTGTGAACTATAGGGAAGATTCCATCAAAGATTCCATCACTCATTGTGGAGTAGCCGTCATTAACTCTGCCATTACAACGGCCGCTGATAAGAGGACACAGTAAATCCACGTAAAAACATTCCACAGGCAAACAATTTTAAAATAACGCCACAAAATTTATTCTGTAATCACCATAGAACGATTCTTAATACAAAACTTCGCTAACTATCGAACGATGGCTGAGATTTAGACAGATAAAAAGAGCCTTCCAAAATCTCCGACACAACTTGAAAAAGTTGGGCTGTCTTTTTCAAGTTTGTTTTCATTGGCTCGCGCATGCGTGTTGGGTGACATAGCCCCTTTAAGTGTCGTTTATGCAACAGAAATTGCGGGTGTTGCATAAAACTTTTTTTAAGGGAAAAATAGCACGTAAATTTACGGGACCTATGTAGGTCACGTATCGTTACTGTTTTTACTAAATTTAACGAGATCTTTTACTGAGAAGTGAAAAAAAAGTATTTTTCTTCACGTAATTCGTTCTAATGCGCTTTGTTAACCTCTGATGTACTGTTTTGTGAAAAAAGAAGAACTATCATTTTCAGTAGATATATGTTGAAGAAAAATAACGTTTCCATGCAAATTTCATTTTTTGAGAAGCTTAAAAGTGTTCGAAACGATTTTTTAACTTTCTTTACACTCACCGATGGTTGGCTTAAAAAAAAAGAGTGAATCATTAATTAAGTACTATATCAACGTTACATGTGCACTTAAGAGAGCCCGTAAGTTACCACGTAAAACGGTAACTTACGAGAGTGCAAAGTGCGTTCCATGCAACACCCGTAAGTGTACCCATAACGGATTCGTAAGTGATCTACTTAAGTGGGCACTTAAGTATAGGTTTTATGCAACCAGGCCCAGGGCGGTTAATCGAATAAATACGGTAGGATTTATCAGTGGAGGGTGACAATTAAGTGCAAATTAACCCTTTGTATTGAAAACTACTATAGTCACATTTTGACACACCTTTGTCGCAATTTCCTACTGTTTCGTTTCTTTTCGTTCCTTTATCTCTTTGACAATTGAAAAAAACGAAAGAAAATTAAAAAAAAGAACGAAATCGGCAGAGTCAACTATAGTTGGCAATCAGTACAGTTGAACCTGTCTAATGCGGATAAACACTCCTTGAGGTAATATGGTCCATTTTTTGGAGCACTATCATCCACTATAAGGAATTGTATAGCCTGCGTAGCAAGCGTTTTACGTGCTGTTTCGGAGCAAAGAAAGACCGAGGAAC